TGGCGGGGAAGAAGAACAAACTGGGGAGGAGGGTGGAGAGAATGGTGCGGCAATGAAGGAGTGAAAGCCCAGAATCCCTGTGAATGTTCATTGAAACTAATAAAACTTAATAATAATAAAAAAATACAAAAAGAAATCACACTGAGTAGGTTGGAGGTGTGGTCATTGCGCTCATCACAGCTCAGGTCAGGTCTGAGACTCAGGGAGGTCAGAAGCTTGTGATAGAGTTAATAAAAAGCAGAGCTGAGATTGCATTCCTTCAGGCCAGTAAGGACCAACATTATAGAAGATGTTCCTCTCTTAGATCACAGTGAAAATCTCTAGAATGCAAAGTACTGGAAACAGAAATCCAGCTCCACAGAGAGAAACTCTCCCCAGAGTGAAGAACATGACCATGACCTGTGCTGTCATGAAAGGATTCCAAATAAAGGCAAATTTTCTCCTGACTCAAAGGGCATCATTGTCTCCACAAGGAATAGGCATTTGTGGATATTATCACAGAACTACTCTCTGTGACTTGAGCTGAAGCAGAGGAGAATATACAGCCAATGAAAACCTAGTGTGGGAAGAGGAGGACCTGGCCCTCAGGGATAAGTCAAGTCCCCCTGCTTGGTGACTGAGGAATTGATGAGATGAGATGACTGCTCACTCCATTCCACGGTGACAGGGCTCTCCAGGCTCGGGTGCTCCACTTGGCAGGAGTAAACCTCTCCACTCTGAGGAACAGCTTCAAGCATCACCAGCATCTGGAAGGTCCAGTCTCCATTGCGGACCAGGCCTGTGGACACAACCCCAGCCTCCTCTTCCTGGCCATTCCGGAACCATTTGACTTCAATGTGTCCTGGATAGAAACCACTCACAGAGCACACCAGGAGGTTGTGGTGCTGCAGGGGCTCAGTCTTTGAAGGGTACACAATTAGCTTAGGCTCAGCTAGGAGAAAAAAGGGAGAGACAATTAATGAGAAATACAGGGGAACTCTTGCTTGTCTAGGCCTCTGTCTGTTTTTACACCCAGGAACAAGTCTTGGACAGGCCTCCCCCAGAAGAGGACACATGGCCATACAAGTCAGTAGTTCATGGACCCTGAACTTTATGGGGCCATTTGATTTGAGACATATGAGTGAAATGTAGGGTTTTCAATCATTTGACCACTGTAGAAATGCTTGGAGTTTTTGCAAGGTACATCAGGTTTAATTAGAGGTGTTGGTTTTAGTGTCCAGGTTTCCGGGTTCAAGTCTAGAGTTATCTCTTACTAGATGGCCCTAGGGGAGGATTTTGGCTGCTGGTTCTTTTTTAATTCCTCTGTGCATCAGCTTTCTCATCTATAAACTCATTGCTGTTGACTTGAAATGAGTCACAACCTGTAGCTGATCCTCCATTGATTTCCAAACTGAATCACTAAGGATTAGATGCCGTCTTTCTTCTGAGGAGTCACAGGTGGATTTGAACCACTGAAGAGAGAAATACAGCTTTGGATTAGCAGCTCAGTTCCTACTGATGCTGCCACCAGAGCTCCCTTCTCATCTCTAAATGGATAAAAAGAACAGCTTACTTTTTAGGGTTGTGTGAGAATTGATGCAATAAATTATGAAACAGTGACTAAAACTCAGCCATTATGTTAGATGGGAGCACTGGGGGATTAGTAATAAGGAGTTATGCTGTCAACACTAAGGCACTTGGTTCAAGCCCACCATCTGCATCTTAGGAGAAAGATGATCAGTCTGGTCTCATGAGATTTACTATCTCTGAAAACACAGGGAGGGACAGATAATGCATCAGTTCCAACTTGCAGTACACATCAACAACGTATATTAGCGACCTATACTGAGATAATCTGATTTAAAATAGTATGGATGATGGGGAAACAGTAGTAGGATAGGTGGGGAGAAAGGAGGCTAAAGTAATAGAATGTGATCTTGATGTGTGTACATGTTTAAAGAAACTTATTTAGATGGGGAATTTCTCTGTGAGTTGAATCCAGGGACAGCATGAGTTCTAAAAGGGATTAACCAAAAAATTTGTTTTCTTTTAAAGTGCTAATATTTGCTGTTTTGATTAATACCTTTTTTTTTATCAAAACAAACATATGTAGTATTGGAAATTTGACTTTAACATTTTTTTAACTGGCTTACCAGGTTTGGGTGTGAGGCATGTGCTTCACGCTTTGCACAAACCCTGACACTAGCAGGCCTTTGGGGGTTTTGGATGGTGCTTTGAGGTTTTTGAAAGAGAAGCTTGGGAAACATTCTCACAATACAGGAAATAATAGATTTAATATTGATGAAAGGAGCTCTAGTGGCCTAGTGACAATAATCTGTGCTAAAATACCTCAGAGGCCACCAGCTGGGAGAAGGATGGGCAATCACCTCCCCTGTGATTAACTGCTTCTGAAAACTTGCTGGGGGTCCATCTACTGTAAACAACATTATTGAGGATACTTTTTTTATCAATTTTTAAGTACATCTCATATTTTTATTTTAATTGTTATTTTAATGAATGTTTACAGAATATTTACGTTTTCATTCATTC